TCAAACATAAGGATTCCCCCTCAATATATCTGAGAAACATAGATTTATTCTGTGTACAATAGACAGTGTCAAAGGGCAGAAAGCTGAGTGCCAGAAAGTTTAAGTGTGGGTCCTTTTTTAAATGCATTGTCTAATAAAACTATTACTAAGATTATAAGCTGCTTACTATTGTTTTATTTGAGTTAGCATTAGAGAATGGTGAAGGATCAGAAGTGGCAATGCTACATTACCGAACTACACAAAAGGCAGCATAGCAGACAGGTTTTATTAACTGATCAGGGTAGAATTCTACAGACTTTTCTGGTTGTGTGAAATAGGTATTTGATGTCAAAAGTCATTTTAATTTAGGTCTAATAGTTTGGTGTGCTAGGCTATATTGATCTTTTAGCAGGGAACTGAATGCAGACATAAGGTGATATGTCAAAGGCTGTAGGATATCCCCATCCAGGGACTAATTTAGTCTGGTCTTGGATCTGAAAATTAGTGGCCTAAGGAAAAAAGGTCTACTGTGATAGGATTTGCAATGAGATGTAAAGTCACTGAGACAAGAAATGCAGGAATATTGTTCTAGAAGAGGCAGAGGCTTGGTGCGAAGAGTGGCAAGATTGACAGAGCACTTTATTAGTTATAAAGTAGTTTGATAATCGCAGATGAAAATGCAAAATATGGCTGTTATTTCATCCTTTATTATGAATATTTAATAAAGGCAAAGCTACTCACAGGCACTACCCAAATCTTTCTCAGCAGCAGAGCAAAAGAAGCATGGCAAAAGTTTGTTTCTTTGAAATGCTCCTTTCACAGATTACTAAAGGAAAAGGAAAGTTTGGTGCATGTATACGGTTGGACTGACCAGATAAAAACATTAAAAACACAGTAAGAAATCTTCAGGCTCAATCATAGGGTTCCTTCACAGGAAAAACCCCTATCGAGTTCAAAGACAGTTTTTCCTCTTCAACTACTGCACAAGAAACCCAGACCCCATAAAACATATTCATGAATATGGTATTAAAAATGATGATTTATATGTAAATAATTGTCAAGATATCACAGGATACGGATGCAGGCCCCTGCGTCCCAATGACATCCACTTGCCTTGCTTGTAACAGGGCGAGCGTCAGTCAGCAAAATTGGGTCAGAATTCTTCTCCGCTACCTCGCCTGCCACGACTTTGATGGTTTAATTGAACTTGGGAGGATGGTGGTTTCCCTGACCCAAAGCTGACTGCTACTTATCAAGATGGCAGGTGCAGCCAGAGAAAAGAAAAAAAAAAAAGAAAAAGTAAAAAATCCTGACGGCATCTCTCTCACACTCACTCTGCCTGCAGGCCAGGATCTCTGGGGCTTCCCTCCTTCCCCATTTACCTTCAGGGCACTCTCAGTCGTGGCTCCAATGATCACGTGTTTTTGTGAGGGGGTTTCTGCTCCCCACTAATTGCTAACCTGCCAACTTAATTGAACACCTGCTGCAGTCAATTAGCACGGAGCTGGGGGTTCCCCCCACCTTTTTTTTTTCCTTCTTCTCTGAGCTCCTCCAAGCTCTGTAGACGAAATAGGTCTGCTTCCCCATTTCTGGGGATTTCAGCCCTGGCCGGCAGGCGGGTGTTTCCCCTTACTGCCAATGTCTGGGACCAGAAATAGCTCCCAGTGGCATAATTAAACCAATTCGGTTCACCCAGCAGGCTGATAAGGCTATGCCAGAGCAAATCAGAAGATCCTTTTGGAGCGTAGCCATGCTGCAATGGCTGGACAGATCTCTTCGGCTGCAGCTCTCTTTGAAGTAGGTATCCCTGACTTTTCCACAATAATTCATGTGCATGGACTCATGATATCCTACTGTTTGTAGCGTAAGTTTTAGGGATGTCTATGCTGTCTCCCAACATGGGGTCTAGAAGGATATCTGTGAAGCACGCCCTATCTATTCACCCTTGCTTGGTATGCACGAACTCCCAGAATGAGGCATTGTAGGGGGAGCACTGAGTATATAGCCAGCACTCTAACAAAGCTACAGTGCCTCACTTCTGGGATTTGGCACATAAGAGTCGCATCCAGACGGATGAACACATGCCTGTTGCAGCATCTCAAAGCAGTTTGAGATGCTGCAGGAGGCATGCTAGGAATGAAAAAATGTTTCCTGCACTGCATATTTGCAATGCACCCTCTAAGTTTGATACCGGAAAATCCTGGTATAAAAAAACAAAAAAACCCCACATTGGTTAATAGTGGCACAGGGCATACTCCACTCTAGCACCCAGCCAGAGCACCTCTATGACTGCTTGGTGCCTGCTGCTCCAGCCTGCTTATTCCTTGTACTGGAACAAATAGAAGCAGAGCAAGGCTGGCAGCAGTGTCTTGGAGCTACCGTGGACCCAGGCTCTGTCCCTGCTAAGCAGGGATGTGGGGGTGGGGGTACTGTGGGGGTGGGAGGACTGTGTAGGAGGGGTAGTTCCCCCACCTGCCCCCACAGCACACAGCCCCTGCCACTGCAGCAGCAGCAGCCAGCAGCAAGCTGTTGGGGCACTCAAGGCCCACTGCTGTCAAAGACCCCTGACATTGCGTGGTACCACCTGAGACCCAGGGGATTCATGTGGCACACATTGCTGACCCAGCCTGCTGATGTGTTTCTTCAGCCAGCACCAAGCCAGCTCCTGCTGTCAGTCAGGGCTCCTGGCACTGCATGCAGGAGCCGCGTGCCATCTTGCCTCCATGTGCCCTGCACATCATCAGGCCAGGCTGGCTCCATGGAGGCAGGACCTGACCTGGCTCGATGGTGTCCAGCTCCTGCCTGCAGTGCCAGGAACATGGGGTGACAGCAGGGGCTGGCCTGGTCTTGCCTGAAGGCATGCCAGCAGGCCGGGCCAGCTCTGTGTGCCACGCTCCTTCCCCACGAAGCCTCACATCCTCCTACAAATCTCTCACCCTGCATACCCAGCCATCAGGCAGGACAGGACCTTCTGGAAGCAGTCATGGCTGCAGAAGCAACTGCCACACTGCAACTCTGCCCCATGCCCACGCCAGTGCTGGGACATGCAACCCTAGCCTGGGGAACCTCCTGGTCCCAGGAACCACTTGGGGGGTGTAATGGACTGGGGGGTGGGGTGGAGGTAGCAGAAGGGGGGTGTGTGAGAGAGAGAGAGAGATGGTGTTCGGGAATGGAGGAGTACTCCAGTTAGGAGAGGCAGCCAAAGCTGGGCTTAGAGCCTCCCTACTCCCCTACAGCAGCCTGTGCAGGAGGAGGCCAGCCTGGAAGGGAAGGGGCTTGCCCATCTCAGGCCCTGAGCCCCAGTCAAAAGCGTCCCAGGAATGACGTGGGGATTGCTAGGGCCTCGGCACAGGCGCAGGAGCAGAACAGCTGGCACTGCTCAGAGCCACAAAGCCCCGGGTGGGACAGCTGCAGCTGGATTCATGTCCTGGTGCTGAGAGGGAACTGCTGCCAGGAGGGAGCTAGTGTGGGGTAGGCAGGGGCTGCAGGTCAGGAGTGAGGGGCACTGGTGGGGTTGCGGCTTGGAAGTGAGGGGCAAGGACATGGGTAGGGGCAGGGCACTGGCATCCCAGTGCTTCTCAGTGCCCCACATCCTGGTAAGCGAAGGGAGCAGGGACAGCTCTGGTTTTTGTATGATAAAAAAACCCAAAAGCAAATGCCAAAGTTTATAGATATTTAGAATTCATTTTGTTGTGATCATAAAGGTGCTGGTAGGCTTCCAAACTGAACCTGCTTCACAGCAGCCATTTCAAATGCAGCACAGTAATGGTACATACGTGCCCATACTTCCTTCTAGCTTGTATCAGCTCAACTCATAACTTTTGGTTAGTACCTTTGGTGCTTCAGGTTGCAAGCCCAGTGGAGGTGATCTTGTAAAGCCTAGTCTACTTTCTTAAAGAGAAGGATTAAGGTCCACATATGCTTGCATAAAGTTATCAAGTTTGCATGTGTAAATTAGGTTGATGCGTTGGTACAAGGCTAGTAAGAATCTTAAGCAGCTATTATTTGCATGTGTTTTCATCTGTTTTATATGCCCAGTGATTACATGTGCACAAGTTGATGTATTATCAGGCATACAGTTTTTTTGTATAGATTGATTTTGATGGTGTACATCCACTGGGTCATTTATGTCTTGCAATGTAGAGAAAGCCAAACACTGGCCTTAGTAAAAAAATAAAATAATGCTAGCAGTTAGTGTGCTCTCATAACCTTTCTGCCAGAATATATCAAGATGGCCCAAAACAGCTGGGTAGGAATGTACATCTTATTACTGCTCCAATTCAGCATAAGTAATGGGGGCTGGGGATGAGTCATATTATTTAATTAGTAAATGATCTACCCCTGTGCAATATGTTTCCAGTGGTCACAATACATGATTTGTTCTGTATAATGCTTTCTTAAGTGCTATACAGTTTACTGCTCTGTTGCTGTACAGTGCACAAGTCTGGGACAGGGAAAACCTTCACCCTCATCCTTGTTGCCCAACATAACAGCCTCACAGAGAGCAGGATCTGGACCATTTCTAGGAAGGAACCTAATTTTTAGCCCATTTTAAAAGATCCATTGGAATAGAATCACAAGTCTGATCAACACCTTTGACCTGAAAAGGGGCCTGTTTCTGACCCTACTGAAGTCAATGGCAAAGATCCCATTACTTCAATAGGATCAGAATTGGATACCATTTTATTATTTATTTTATTCTAACTAGAAGACACTGAGGAAGCTTTGCTGAGTTCTGATTTCTTAGTGAAACAGAAATCTGTTAGTTTCTCATTCAGGCGTTGGATTAGAGGTAGCATTAGTTCCATGGAGCTGATTACTCAAGAGGTTTTTTCATTTGCTTCAGTATAGTACAGGCTGGCATATGCGGCCTCCTGGAATATCATAAAGCAAAGCAAATAATACATCTGCTATAAGGATTTATTTAAAATGTAAATGGTTCTCAGAAGTATGCTTTTAGAATTAATTTCAGAGAAGAAAACAATAAATATTAACAAATGTGGATATTCTGTTTCTTCCAGCAATTGCTGTGCTTCATTGAAGTGTGGGAGAAAATAGAAAAGCCCTAGCAAAGAAAATGCTATATCCTTTGTTCAAATTAAAACCTTTGCATGTCAAAAGATGTAAAACTGGCCCTATTGCTTTCAGATGTTAACACATGTTTTGATGGTTAATGCTGCATTACAATGGGATTTCTATAGACATATGACAGCCACATCAACACCAAATGAATACATTACAGTTCAGGTTTTTATTACAATGAATACTAAAAAATGCTTGAGATGAAAACAAATGTTCTTTTGCAAAATTCCATAAAACTGGAGTGACCCTTGTGGTGCTGAATGACGAAGGAAACATCACAATTATTGCTATTCTGTCTTCTAACAGTGTTTCAATGCTCAAAAAAGAGAAGAGCTCTGAACAGGCTTTCAGAACAAATATCAATAAACCAAAAAGATCCAGGTTTGCACTTTTCTTGCCTTCCCAGTTGATCTTTGCCTCTTAAATTAACCTCCTGCCTTTTTTGAAGGATGATTTTCTCCTTTTTTAAACTTTTTTTTCCCTAAAAAAGAGGCTCATTTACTATTACAATTCTCTTCAGCCTTTCTGCTTTTTCTTTGATGGTACTAGAAACTGAATTTCTCAATTTCTTTAAATTAGCTTTAGCCCAAAAAGCAACAGTACAAGCTTCCTCCTGTATATCTTGGAGACTGATTTGATCACAATTTCTGAAAAAGTACTCAAGAATTTGATCTTTTTTCCACTTGCAGCAAAATAGTACTCAGCATCAGCTGATACCCACTGACAGCAGTATACATTTGTTTGGGTTCTTCTACCTGGAGACTTAAGCAGAATGGACAAAAATTGTTAATTTAAAATACATTATTTTAAAGCACACCGAACCACTATGTGGATATCCTCATTCAGAAGTAAAGTAGCCATAGCTTGCTTTAATTTGCTTCAACTAATGCACTTTAGATTCACACCTTTAATTAATTCAGCTGAATCTCCCAAGTCAGTAAGTCCATAATATAGGACATACTGGGAAGTTTCAACCATGTTTTCTATAATCACAACAGAAGTGACTTTATCTCATATAGTCTAGCACAGGGGACGGCAATCTCTGGCACTGATGCCAGAGCATGGCATGTGGAGCCATTTTGTTCAGTACCCCACAGCCAGCCCCAGCTTTTGGCAGGTCCCTGCCACTGCCCATGGAGCCCAGGCTGCTCATAGCATGCAGTGGGGAGGCTGCAAGCCCTGATGCAAGCAGCTTGGGCTCTGTGGCCTGCCCAGAGCCTGTGCTGCTGGAAGCAGGCAGCCACAAGGCTGCAAGCAGGTCCACTGTAAGTGCCACCAGCAACAAGCCAAGCCAGGGAGCTGGACCCTGGTGCAGCTGCTTGCAGCCTCATGGCTGTCTGCTACAAGCAGTTCTGGCTCAGGGCAGGCTCCTGTCACCTGCCACGGAGCCTAGGCTCTTCACAGCAGGGCTTGCAGCCCGCCCCCGCAGCCTGCTGAGAGAAGCCCGGGCTCTGTGGCAGCAGTAAGGGCATGCCCAGAGCCCAGGCTGCTTGCAGCAGGCAGCCACAGCACCAGGGTCAAGAAACCCAGCTTGGCTGGAAAGTATTTATAAGAGGTTTTCTTTATACATAGTAAGAAATTGTAAAGGAAGTTGAAAAAAATTCTAAAACCGATCTTCATAACTAAGGTATTTCTAATTCCCAACTTCCTAACTTGATTTTGTTTTTGCTGACTATGTATAAAGGAATTGGAAGGAAAAAAGCCACCACACAGACCCCTCGATCTAAGTATATGTTCAACTTTAAACAGAAGTATGTTCCCAGATCCTACTGATATTTATGTGTTTATTAAGAGCTTCATCCAGGTAATAAAACAGAGAGAAAAAGAATTAGCAAAGATTTTGAAATTATAGTACCAGCAAAATAAAAATGCTATAAAATATTTACATTAGTTTTCTTTTAATCACAATATGCGAAATATAATAATTTTTTTCTTCCTGGAGACTTATTTCTTAGTGATGTGAAATATCTCTTCAAAATACAATGTGATGGATACTCCAAGGTTAAAAAAACCACCTCAGTAAAATGACTTATGCTGTTTCATCCCTGCTTTAAGAAGGACACACACACAAAAAGTATAACAATTTTGAAGCTACTCAAGGACTTAGTCTGGGAAGTTTTTGCTACTAATTTGTCCTAGTAGCTGTTAGATGTGATTACTGTGTTATATCCAAGTTCAAAATAGAAAGATTGTATTATCATTTTTTTTCCATTTTAGAAAATAATATGGTTAATAACCAAATGAGTATAATCATATGGTGGAAACTATATTTAATGTTTTCCTTTGAGGCACTGGCATCTGTGTAACAGATATAGTCTTTCTACAAGACTGCTACAAGTCAATCTTCCTGAGATATATTTGTAATTTATATGAAGTTGCTAGAAATCAGATGGTGATAAAATTATCATACAACTCACACATGCACACATACCATATAACTCTATCTTGACATGTAGATACCCTGAAACTAAAAATAAATTCAGCTCTGCTTTTGCCTGAAGAAAACAGGAACTTATCACAGCTGGCCTGCATTATTTTTCAAGCCATTCTTAGCTACACTGTACACACACCCAGCAGCTCTAGAAAGAAGCCTACAGTTGGCAAATATTAGTCATCCATTTATGACTGAGAATGGGGCACAATAGTGATATGATATTTTATAAAGCTGAACACAAATCTGAGCTTGGAAAATGTTAACAACCTTTATCCTGCAACATAACCTGTGATAGACTGTTCTCAGTGTTTGAAATATAAAGGACTTTGTGGATACAAAGGACTTTGTGTTCCATGAAGACATACCTTTTAAAAATGCTGTTTCAAACTGATAGGTGGGTAAACTGATGCCAGGCCAATTCCAATCTAGAATTTATTGAAGTCTTCAGCTCCCTTAAGAGAATCACCTGCAAGTTTAAGATGCATCTGTGCAATGAGCAAGTTAGCTGAACACAGCTGTATAAGAATATTTGAATGTGTACTTAACATAGCCAGGTTATATCCCTAGCTATCATATCTATGCAAAAATTTTTCACACATTGGGTACTTTCACTCAAAAGTTAGGACATAGGTGTTTGTGTGCCCTTGACTATCTGTGTGTCTTTCTTTGAAAAATGTGAGTTATGTTTCTCTTAGCTATACATTGCAGTGAGGCTTGGTGGCTAAAGCACTGGGATAAGTAGCAATATTGTGTATCTGGTTCTTTCACAGCCTGATATGTTGGGCATGCTTACAGTGCCTACATGCTACACGCAGGATTACTGGTATGAAGCACACTTGACCAATAGACTCCTACATCACTTGTCCCAGTTCCCAAAAATGAGACAATGTAACAGTCTTGGTTCAAGACTGAGTGAGCATCCAGCATTGATCCTGGGCTTTCTGTCTCAGGCATCTTTATGGGCATAAGCTCAGTGGTGCTTAAATGTGGCCAGATTGTTTCATTTCCAGGATTTGCCAGGCCTGGAAAGGAAGCAAGAGAATGAGTTGGGGGGTTCTTCACAGCAGCACTCTGAGGCATAACACAGAAGTGATGTAGATGTGCCCTTTCTGCCTCAGTTTTCCCTTCTGTAAAATGAGGATAAGACTATGTCGCCATCACAAAAAGACAGGTAATTAAATTAATGGTTTCTTTATTGTTTTAAATATACTTAGAGAACCTTAGTGAGGAGGCAGTATAGGCATGTATATTATTACAATCAATCATGATTTAAGGTGTTTGTGCAGCTTGGGTAAAAAGTTATGTCTGCAAAAACAGCTTATCAGTTATTTTATACATAACCTCTGAGCTTCACTCAACGCTTTCTCCTTCTGTTTTTTAATCATCTACTCCCATCTTTTTCTTAGATTGCAGTTACAATGGCCAGACCAGCTCGTTTTGAAGCATCACGTCGAGTGGTTTGGCCCTTTAAAATATTTCTTTAGCACCTGTCTTCTTTCCCTTGACTAGCTGTTTTGTCCAAAGTGTTTTGAGAATGATTGGCTTGGGAAGTACTGCACCAATGAGTGGGCCGTAAATAACAGGTATATTATCAAGTGGCAGGGATATTCTCTTTGGTTGAATCTCACAGCTAAAGAGCACTGGTATATTTTTCGCACTGGTTCTGGTGAATTTAATAGAAGCTTATTTGAATATTGATCACATTCACCTTACTGTAATCCAGCAAAAAATAACCTGAACATTGTTTATAAGATCTTTTTAAAGAACTGTTTGTACCTGTTCCATTGGTAACACATCCTGCTGTACAGGAAGTCACAAGCATTAGCAACAGGGAGAACTTGATTAAAGTGGCAAAAGTTATCAGAGAAACTCAACCTCTGCCTTTAGATAAATAGCCTTGAAAAGTGCTGTGATCCAAGTCCCTTAATTTCTGTTAAACTAGTAGGGACAACAAAATCCACAACTGATGGCCCTCTGCTAAGACAGCCCCACCTGCTGCAGTCAGGCATAAAAGTTCAGAAACTGTCTGTTAGCACATCCTAGTTGGCTTCAGCTGCTGAGATAGAGTTGATAAGATAAGCTCAAAGACCTTGGTGGGCTAATAGACACAGCTTGAACTATATAAAACAGGGGTGTTCAACCCTAGCCCATGAGGCTCACCACAGGTCCAGAAATGGCAGGGGAGTGGTGAGAATTAACTGTGGATCACTGGTTTTTCTCTGTTCTTAATAGAGAAAGAAACTAACATATATATTGTGACTTTCAATATTTTCTTTGTACACTTTTTATTTATTCCTTGTTTACATTTGTGATACCAGTAAAAGGAGTGGATAATTTTACAGTAGTGTAAGAGTGACGTTGTAGTCATGATGGTCTGATTGCTGATTAATTAATTAATTGCTGATTAATTAGTTAATTAATACACAAGCTCATTGGCATTCTAATTCAAATGCATCAGAGCAGACTGGATTAATTGATTCATCAAGTCTGCTCCATGTTCTAATTAGAACACTATAGCATTATCTCATTGTCACATGTATTAAGCCCTCACGCATTTTAAAATGGCTGTAGGACACTTTATCTAAACCTCGTCAAATAAGGTTTAGATAAAGCAGGGGTGGGCAAAATGCAAGCTGCGGGCTGGATGCAGCCCACCAGGCCATTCTATCTGGCTCACGGGGCCCCTAAAAAATGTAGAAAATTAATATATATCTGCCCCTGGCTGCCTGTCATATGGCCCTCAATGGCTTGCTGAAACTCAGTAAGCAGCCCTGTACCTGAAACAATTGCCCACCCCTGAGATAAAGCATCCCCCAGCCATTTTTAAACATGCAAGGGCTTAATACATGTGACAGTGAGCCATTTTAATTAAAATGCCTCCTTGCTCCCTGAAGCATATGTATAGGCAGCTAATGAGAATTAATAAAACTTATGCCAAAGGCAAGGATTTCTTAGAGTATCTTTTATTGGACTAACTGTATAGTTAGAATAGAATTAGACAAGCTTTCAAATGCAAGACACTTTCTTATTTCATTATTAGTCACTGAGGCAACCTTAATGACAAGTGCCCCACAACAGACGCTGCTGGTCTTTACGGTAAACTCAGAGGGGTTATGCATTTTACTCTGCAAAAATCCTTACATAGTCTGTATAGCACAAGTGTCATAAGTATGCTGTTAAAACTATCTGTTTATTCTGCACTGGCTGATGCTTGTGAGAGACCTTCAAGTGTAAGATTCATTCTGGATATAAGAAAAGAATTACCCTATGCCTCTAACAGCTCACCAGTGATTTGTGAATTTTGGAGACAGTACTTCCTGTTTACAGCTGTTTGGTCTGAAGTGATGGTCAATAAAGTGATAGCGATAAGGTGAATCTCAGAGTTTCTACAAATTCCCATAAGGGAGTCTTGTGGAGGCCCCACCTAACCCCCCTACTTTTGCTTACGCTGTGTTCTCAGTTCCATCTGGACAAACGGGATTTTTTTTTAACATAACAACCACTCTTATCTTCAAACATAATGAATCCCAGTCTTGTGAAAATGAGAGTGCAAAGCTAGGGCTTAAAATGTCCAAATATAGCCAGAGAATCCAAGCAGATGTTTCAGCATTATTTCCAAAAAAACTCCTTCCAAATCTGCAACCATTTTTCTGCTAAATTTTGTGAGAGAGTCTGTATGAAATAGCCAAAACATGATGACTTAAAAATGCATTAATAGGAAGTGGCCTGGAGGACAGCTGGGTACAGATGTTGTTTATCTTGTCTAGAAGCAAAGTGAGAACGTATTCTCAGGACTCAGCATGTTATTACTAGTCTCTTAGGATTTTAGAAGCAGTCAGTTGTTTGGAACAAGGTCTTAAGCTCATGGTCCAATGTTACAAGGTCTTGTGTTCATGGTCCAACGTTACAGGCATATATACCTTTGACTAAGTCTCCTTTATCGTCTCCAATATCATGTAGAAAACTGTTCACGAGTGATGGAAAAACCTTATGTAGTCTTAGAGTTTCCATTTAGGTTCCCTGCAAAAGTACATCTCCTAACACTTCCCCCCCACCCTCCTGCCAACACAACTAGATGGTTTTGTCATTCCTTCCTTTCCTCTGACCGCCAGTCCTTCCCCTTTCTCTCCACTTTGACCATAGACACATGAATCGGTGAATCTGTGGCAAGTCAAGCCATCCCACTTTTTGAAAGATTCCTGATACAACCTCCTGAAAGCAAGGTAGCCGCGTCAAAGAGATGGCAGTTTTGCCTCTGAACAGATCAGGCCTAATTTTATGGTAGGGTTGGAGTATTATTGTAAGCATGATGATTCAGGAAGGGTATGAGATGCAAGGATTTCTTTGTGGTATGTTTTACTGGACCAGCTGTATAGTTGGGAGAACTGCTAGATAAGCTTCTGGGCATCAAGCTGCCCTTCCTCTGATTTAAGAAAGGGAAAGGTGTGGGCCTAAATATGTCACGCTTCAGAGGCCTGACTTTCAGTGCAGAACCAGCTTGTTTCTGCAAGTGTGAGGACCTGGGCACAGAAACAAGTTATTCTGAGGTACAAAAGAGCAAGGATTTACAGCATGTCAGCTATTCTTCAGTAACTGTTCTATTTGTGCTCTCTCACCATGTGGTAAATGAAACCTAGCTCTTTCGCTGAGGGCTAAAATGCCATGAGTTAGCTCTCATTTGCTGGGAGGTCAGAAGGAGCATGCACATAAGCAGTTACCACAGAGCTGCTGATGCAAAAGTAAACCAGCACCCCCTTTTGCTTTGCGCTGCTTTATTTATTTTGTCCATCTCTCACACAAATGAAATGCATAGCCAGCTCCTTTGTACACAGCTGTCATGGTGCACTTTGCTTCAGGTCTATGTTGCAAACGTCATCTGTCTGCTCATACTAATGTAGCCTTAGTCTGCAACTCCCTCTCCTTCAGTTTTAGAGGACGTACAGACACCCAGCCTCACTCTTCTTTCTTTGACTCTTCTGTTCACAAGAAGAGCGGAACATCTTGCTGAACTGAACAAGAAATAATTTGGACTCTATTTGGACTTGGCACCTGCCCCTTCCCTCCCCCAAAAGACCAGTCATTACAGTCAGACCAATAATGAAGGGTTTTTTTGTGGAGGGCTGTGGGGGAAGAAGTGTGAAAGAAGAGGTTTCTTTTGTGTCTGTGTGTGTGTTGAATTTTTTCATTTTTTGACTAGGCAAGCATTTTTACACATGCTACAGGGGGAGGACCGGGAGCACTTTCATTAGAGCGGCTCTGAGATCCACTCTAATTAAAGCACCCACAGCATCTTGTGTATTCAGCATCCCACACTTCAAAATGGCAGCAGGGACACTTTAACTTAAGCTCTTCAATGAGCTTTAGTTAAAGAACCCCTACTGCCATTTTGAAGCATGGGGACACTGGATACTTGAGACACAGGGGCTGCTGGAGCATGCTAATTAGCATGCTCCAGCAAACTTGATTAATCATCTACAGGCACCCAATGAAACCAAAAAAAAACTTTACCTGTTTGATTTATTCTCCTTTCTCTTTTGAAATGGAGACAGAAAGGTAAAAGAGCTTAAATGCCCTCTAAAAGGTTTGCTTTACTTGAAAATGGGGACGCTTTCACCAAAATGAAAATTTGTTGCAAAAATATCCATTATGATCAAAAAGTCATTTTCTATTGAAACATTGTACTGATAGAGATATTTTAGGCAGTTCTAGTAATCTTATACTTTCAGTCAAAAAGTTCTTCATTTTAAATTAACTTGGTAGCAAACAAGAATGAGCAATGAATGAAAAGGCCTCCATGAAATAAAAAAATGAAATGTATTCCCCAAGGTGTAAATCAGGACATTGTGTGTACACTAATTTAAATGTAGTATCCTGAATGAGTACATACGGTGTTTGGGAATGTTAAGAGCTAAACATAGTTTGAAATTCTGGAGTGCTCCTTTGGGATTGAACTAAGAGAGCAAAAAAGGGATTCTTGTATTTCCTTTCTCAGTTCATGCCTGCATTGGAGCGGCCTTCACTGAGACTGTCTTGGGCTCTCTCTAAACAGTCCTAAAATACAGGAACAAGAAAAAAAGCAGGGAAGGGGGCGTTCTGAAGGATTTGGTCTTAGAAGTCTCATTGCTCTCTCTGAAGAGGAATAAATATCAATCTAAGCTTAGAAGACCATGCAAGATGTTTTAGGTAGTGCCCCTTCAGCTTTGCCTATGCTGCCTAGCTGTCTAAGTTATAAGGTCTTTAGTGGAAGGACCATCCTTGTAAACCGTGTTTATATAGGGACTATTATAATGGGACTTCGACGCTGATCAGCCCACGTAGGCACTACTGCCATACAAATAATAATAGTAATTATAATGATTAGGCTCATAGGACCTCACATGTATTATGCAAACAACTCTATATGAACATTGATATTAAGAAAAAGACATTAAATGAATTTGACATTCAGTATACCAACAAGTTTTGCAATACATAGGCAGAATGTTGTCATGAATATGTAAAATATTATGATTATTGCCATACCTAACTAATTGCATTTGAAA